CCTCCGGCCAGTTGTCCTCCTTCATAAAGGTGGGCAGCATGTTGAGGACCGGGGCCACAAATGCCTTGAAACTTTGGAGTTTCATTCAGTTGGCTGCATGACCCTTAATGTCAGATTATTATATTTAATATTATTATTATTTTGTAATATTTGTGGTAATATTCATGTTCAAAGACAAGATTGTCTGAACTGTTGACAGAAAAACATCATTATAGGCATTTGCAGCGATAAATTTAATCCTGGTATTACATGAAATCTCACGGTTTATAGCTAAAATGGCATAATTTTTCATAATACAATGTTTTTAGTGAAATAAATGGTTTATTTACAACCAGACTCCTTTTTCTTCGTGTAGGCTGAAATGATGGGTTACAACCCCGTAATCTGACACGCCGCCTTTAGTTCCTTTAAATTAATGGCTGCATTAGGGTTTCGGAAACACAATTACTCTCTTAGACATTCAACATTTGCAAATTGTAACTAATATTATAAATGCCAAACTGTTTGCTAGTTTGTTATGCTTTCGTGCCTTAACCAGTCATCGTTGAATTTAGCTTATTTAATTAATTTGACGGCCTCAATGGTCTAGTGGTTTAGCACACCGCTTTACTTTCGATGGTCGCGGGTTCGATTCCTCGCACGGCACAAGCATTTGTATTCATGAGTACGATATTTTATATTAGTCTGGGTGTTGTATGCATAGGATGTATTTAAGATAAAAATATATGTATATGTGTATTTGTGTCAGTTGTCTAGTACCCATAACACAAGCTTTAGCTAGCTTAACTTGGGTCTAGATGGCGCTGTGTGAATTGTCCTGATATTATTATTATTAAATATTAAATTAAGCTGTAATCCGCAATTATGTATGACTTTAAAAAAAATGTTTATATCCATCCTCATGATGTAAGCTATCTTTACATTGATTTTGATTAAAATCCCTTCTTGCGTTTAGTCCTGAAATAACATGATACAGACAGACTTTCTAATGGATGAAAGAGACTACAGTCTATTTTATCTCGGAGGTACTTAAGGTTTAGCACACCGCCATTTTCACCGCCGGTTTAATTCCTCGCACAGTACAAACATTTTGTAGTCATGATTGTTTCTATTGGTCTCAGTGTTTTGCTATATATATTATGCATTTATTTAAAAAAAAATGTACATAACTATTGATATCACTTGTGATGTGACTTGATTATAATGATTGGCTTCCCTTGGAACTAGATGATGCTGTGTGAAATGAAATGAAATTGATTTAAGTCCATGAAATATGTTATAAACATTAAAAGTGTGACATTATTAATAAAATATGCATAGTTTTGGCATGCAACATTTTAGTAATATACAATAGAATGAATTAATTTATACACAAATAGACGTGCCCGCGGTTTCATCCGAATAAAATTTATAGGCTATATATTATTCTGATGTATAAGCTATATTACTGTAAAGTTTCATCAAAATCCGTTCAGTAGTTTTTACGTGAAGTAACAAACATCCGTCCATACTCACAAACTTTTGCGTTTATAATTTTAACTAACTCGAGTAGTTACCCCAGCTTCGCACGGGTATACATGTATTGTATATATAGACCTTCCTCTTGAATCGCTCTATCTAATAAAAAACCGCTTCAAAATCCATTGCGTAGTTTTAAAGATTTACATAGGGACAGACAGTGACAGCGTTTTTGTTTTATACTATATAATGATGATAAGTTTGTCCTGGGTTATTGTTATTATATATGAATTAATAAACTATAGTATTAATAATAAATCATACAGCTAATATATATATATATATATATAATATAATTTTCATGTAGTTCCCACCATATTTTTGTCAAGAATAAAAATATTGTTTTTTATAAGTACATAGTAACAACATTGTCTTATACATCCTAAACACAGGGCTACATATATATATATATATATATTTATCAACACTACTGATTCCCATGACAACTTTTCAATTATAAAAGAATAAAAGCAATTCTCCGTTATCAAAGATATCACGTGACATAGGTATGAGTGCAAAAATGAAACTGAGAACATCCCTTTTATAATGAATAAAAGGTCATGTTTGAAGGTTTGAAATCTTAGATTTGATTTGAAGAAACGTTTTCTAATTAAAAATATTGAATTACCAAATATACCTACCTCAATTAATTGTATTACGTAACAATTGCAAGGAAGCAGTCAGTATGACTGTTACGGATGTATACCGATGTAATTTTGCACTATCTATATATGTATGATATATAGATAGTGCATATATCCATGATTAAAAATTCAATGTTTGAAATGTCAGATTTGATTTGAAGACACATTTTCTAATTAAAATTTTAAATGTTTTAATGCAATGTAGTTGAGGTATCAACTAGATTGCATTATTTAGCATTTTTTTCCTACCTAATTATAACTGTTACGGAACTCTTCAGAGTTATATAAAAAACTTTACTTTTTTTATATTTTCAAATGTACCAGATAATTCTTCGTAACAAAAAATAAATTATTTTCTATTAAAATGTACTTTATTTCGCCATCTTTTACCTATTCTTCACAATTACTTTAGATTGAGAACTATGCTCAAAAGTGTTCTTTTTATATACGCATACTCAGCGTAATTTGGTGTACAAAATAAACAATATAATTGAAAAATTTTTAACTTCAAACTTTACCAACTTAAATAACAAATGTCACTTATAACGTTAAATCTTAAATCGTAAAGTCAGCTGCTTTACGAAGTTTTTACTGGATTCCTGTATCTCCATTTTTAGAAGGTTTGGGAGAGAATGCTGTCATAAAAGTTAAATAAAATTATTATATGTGTGTATGTATATATGCAACTGTGGCGCTAAAATACCAATATTAAACACATTATAGTGTATAATAAAGAAGTTTGTGCTGTATATAAATAGATCAAAATGGGAATATTCACTAGTGTATAAACAAAATTTATTATGTTTATACAAAGATAAACAATTTGATATTTGATTTATAGCGGTGAGATTCCTAAAATTATAGTGGAGCTTTCAACGAATTGGCATTCATCGTGCGTTACGATTATATATGTATACTGGGTTATTATAGTATTATATAATTTTATTGTCAGGATTCAGTTATTTTAAATAGTAGGTATCTGAAACTGTAGCGTCATAATATGTAATTCAGAATTAGTACGAAAAGTTCGTTTTTGTTACGAAGCTTTCATTACTTTAGACTTTAATAATTATAAACTAACAAGTAGAGCTAAAAAAATACTAATACTATAACTTTGCATAAGCAAGTAATAAAAAGACTTTTTTTACTTTTATTTATTTATTTATATTTAACATTATTATTATTTTATTCATTATATAAAACCATTATAATTCATAATTGGATCGAAATAATCGTATTTCTCAAGCCTACATGTACATTTATACTATAAATTTTGTTACATAAGTAGTGAGTACATGCGTGTGAATTAAGTACCTATTTATAAAATGATATAAGAATATGTATAAAATATCCGATATATATGAGATAGTTAACTGTCGAAGTTGTGGAGAATAAACACTTGATTTGTTCACATTTCGCTGTGTATGATATACTTTGAGACCAACGTAGCATTATCAACCCTTCTGCTATTTGTAGGATTAATTTAGTTAATTATTATTATTACTATCGTCGACTCGCCGTTGATGGAAACATAACGTTAGAAATATAAATTGACACGCATTTTTTTCTTGAGTCAGAGTAGTAAGACAATTGGACTACGCTTATATTTTATTAGATTATGACATACATGATGTGTTTCCTTCTTTAAGCGACAGTTACCAATTTACATCAGGGGGCCTGTCAACCTGTCATATTTACGAAGAATAAGAAAAAATGCTTATTGCTACAATCAACCCATTTTTCTATCACGTCGCAGTTACTATTGCAGTAAGACGTGAACGCAATATGTAGACAAAAAAGCCTGAAACGTGTTTCAACTATAAACATTCTACGAACATCGACGACAAACGAAACGTGACTGACATACATAAATCTCTCCTTTCAATTGATTGACAGTATATATAGTTCGCTATATCTTTGATTGCTTGCAATGACGAATCAGCGTTTCTATTTATACCAATAATGGGACTAATCTATATACATAACCAAAGTGTATCTGATTGATCACTGTCCTTAAACTCTGACTTTATGGATGTATCAGAACAAAAAAATATATAGATTTCTTTCTTATACAACTACAATCGCAATCAAACATACAGCCTATCTGATGGTAAATGGTTGTCGTAACCTATGGACGCCTGAAATATCAGGGGTGTCAGTGCGCTTTGCCGACCCTAAATATTGGAATGATGCGTTCGCCTGCGCTAACGATATACACTGGCAGGTCACCGGTGGAAGATTATAGGATATAGGATAAGAAGATAATAAACTCAGGATAGGGGAACCATCATGGCGAATTGACCAAGAATTACCCACGACCAATTAATTAAATATAATTAATCAATATAATTAAATGGATTCAACTTTTGCATTTTAACCAATGTGATTTCCAGGTGTGCCGCATAAAGGTTGACTTGGCATTACATATTGCTAGCAATAGGCTTATATAATAGCTTAGTATACTAAACTGATGTTCCTAACCTAAAATGTTACCAAAAAGATTTTACCTAATTATTCTAACACATAAAAACTGACTGGTTTACCACAGATTATACCTAAAAAAATCAAAATTTTTTAAATTATAAATAAAAGGTCTGCTCTCCATAATTATACAATAGACAATGATATTATACTTTACTGCCTGAGCCGGCCACACTCATCCTTATTTCTCTGGTCTTTTAATGATGTTTTTTCCATAGAAGACTAGTGCTTTGCTGCCTTACCTAGCCACATTTGTTTCTCTGTTCTATTAAACTTAATTACGTTGAGTACAAGCTCCTGTTTGGTATCTATTAATTAAATAAATACGCACATACAAAGCAAATTATTCTGTTCTAGGTGGTAGTAAACGAGCCACCCGTTTGACTGTAGCCACTGCAATTGGAATTTGGATCCTTGCGGCTCTGCTAGCCACGCCGGCGTATGTTGGCTCCTATGTTAGGACATTCGTCGTCAATCCTACTACACAGGTTAGTTCAATTTTTTTTTATTTCTTCAGCAATATTTGTTTTATTTCTACCGTATCTGGCTAATTAGAAAAGTATTTTATTATTCTAAATTTATAGTTCTTTTTATTGTACATTCTTGTTTTTTACTACATTCTGTTATGTCAATAGTGTTCTAATATATATCTCCGTATTCCAAGTATTTTTCTATAGTTTTCGTTTTAGAATAGAATAACATTTATTACATGACACATCACAAACCAACAACGCTGACAGCAGCATGTAAATTATTATATAAAATAAATGTAAATAGAAACAATGCATTAAATTAAAGATGAAATCATTGTATAAAAAAAAATACTAAATAATAATATTTACCTATATACATATAAAATAAAACTAAAACACATTCATTATTTTTCTATATGTGTATATATATTAACGCATATATTTGAATATATAAATTTTTAATCTCCTACCGCGATTTGCTACAGCGGAAGTTTTACCAAAAGTTTCACTATAGGACATGTACCCGTATGTTATATTATAAATATTAATTATATATTAGGTATATGTATATAAAATATTACGTTAATGTATATAATAGACTTAATATTTTTGAGATTACGCATGTATGTATGTACACTTGTATAATAATATGATTTATTTATTTCTCCTCACAAACATGATGGCAACAATACATCTAGTATTTTTTATAATACCTTGTGTATTGTAGTTCAATTGAAAAGCTACATATAAATTTAGCATGTCGTGATAATGTACTTGATTTTTTGTTGTTTAAAAAATCGTCCAATGCGTACACAAGTAAAGCATGACCTATGCTACTTAGTCATAAGCTTTATATGGTCTTTAAATAATAAACAACCGCGGCTCAGGCCGTCGTAATTTCGATCCCCATTTTAATTGGACGGGGTATCAAACGGCCACCTACAATCCGGAGGGCTGTCAGATTGTTTCCCATGCCTGTGGCATAGATACTTTGACAATGATATATTTTTCTTTCCAGTTTCTTGTCTGCTACCCTTATCCAAACGAATGGGGTGAAAATTATCCTCGAACAATGGTTCTGATAAAGTTTCTGGTATACTACTCGCTGCCGCTGGCTGTCATTGCACTATTTTATGTGCTAATGGCAAGACATCTGGTGCTCAGCACTCAGAATATGCCGGGAGAGATGCAAGGGACACAGAGACAGGTAAGAGATTAACATTCAAACTTAATCTTATCTTAATATTATAATATATTTTATAAACGCGAAAGTTTGTGGGTATGAACGTTTGTTACCCTTTCACGCAAAAACTACTCTCCCGTTTTGATGAAACTTTACAATAATATGGCTTATGCATCAGAATAACATATAGGCTATAAATGCAGGTGAAACCGCGGGCACAACTAGTTAATAATAATTTAAAAACCCAGGACAATTCACATACCGCCATCTAGTCTGAAGTTAAACAGAGCTTATATTATGGGTACTAGATAACTGTCGTAGGTTTCCTCGCACGGTACAAACCACCACACTAACAATTTTTTTTACCTCGGCATTACAAATCGTATTTCTTGACAGTTTTTTTCGGTTCAAGTTCAATTTCAAGTATATTTATATTGTAAACGTGGAAATTTGTGAGTGTGGATGGATGGGTGGATGGATGGATGTTTGTTTGTTACTTTTTCACGCAAAAACTACTGAATGAATTTTAATGAAATTTTACAATAATACAGCTTATACATCAGAATAACACAGGCTATAAATTTCCGCGGATGAAATCACGGGCATAGCTAGTATTATCATAAATCAGAAAATAATGATACATAAAATATTTCTTTATTTATGTATAAGTATATTTAGATTTATAAATAAGATCGGATATATAAACGAAATACAGGAGGACTCCTCTGAGAGGAATATAGTGTGATTTAAATCCTAAACATAATTTGTTAACAAAACTTCCTACAGCGATAAATTCTCAAGGTACCTATTTACATAAACTGACATAGTCAATTATAAAACAGACGATAAGTTATTTAGATGGAGTTAGGAAGATATTTATATGGTATGTATAAGTTATAACAGTGAATTACAGTATAGTTATGCGTACCTACAAATAGAAGGTTGTTAGTTCTCTCTGCTGACCTAGTAAAGGCCCTGGCGTGATGATAGTATTTTTTTATTAATGGATATGACAAAACTGGAAGCTTTTGAAATGTAGTGCTGGAGAAGGATGGAAAGAATTAACTGGAAAGATAAAGTAATAAATGGTGAAGTATTGCACAGGGTGAAAGAAAAGGCAGGTATTTATTGTTATAGAAAGTAGAAGAGGAAAAATGTTGAGGCACTTGATACTGCACGATGAATTTTTGAAACTAATTATTGAGGGAAAGATAGAGGGAAGGAGGAGGAGGAGAGAAAGACCAAGGCATAGTTACTTAAAACAAATTAAAGACAGAATTGGAGACGTGTCGTATCAAGGCTTAAAGAGTATGATAGAAGATCATAGAAAGTGGCATGAGCTCCACCGACAAGAGCGTTGCTCTTAAGTTTATGAATGATGAATGAATGAAATGACGAACAACCTGACTGCCCATCTGATGGTAAGCGGTAACAGCGGTAACCATTGCCTCTATATACCTGAACTGCTTTACGGCGATCACGTTACCATATGACACCCGTGATACCATATGTGATATGATGTGATATATCACGTAATATGTGATACCTCTTATAATGTGATTTTACTGCCTAATCTGATCCTCATCATTGTTATTTGTTAAAATTCCAGATGAGAGCAAGAAGGAAGGTTGCCCAGACTGTTCTTGCATTCGTGTTAGTCTTCGCAGCTTGCTTCCTACCTTCACACGTCTTCATGATGTGGTTCTATTACTGGTAAGTACCTAGCATATTTATTTTCTATTAATGTTAAATTCGAAACTCAAATAACCAAATTTTATCGTATGGTATTATTTTCAGTAGCAAGTGTGTTAACATAGTGATTATTTACTCGTTGAGATTTATGATTTCATGTAGGTACTACATACCTTTGCACTTTTCTTCAAATAAAATTCTTTAAATAGAAATCTTTTTAAAGAATAATAAAATTAGTATTTTTTTTTTCTATGATGCGTTTATTGCTTGCGTCACAAGAAACAAACAAAGTCATTTTTGTTTGAATATGTTAAATAATTTTATTTCCAACACGGCATATTGCTCAGCAATTTGTTGCATGAATAAACCAGCTTCAATTAAAACAAATGTATTTGTTTGGAACTGTGCAAACTTTCCTTTGTAGAATATTTCAACATGGTCACTCGTTCAGTGAATACCGATGATATACAAATTAAGTAATATATTTTGATAGAATACTTCATTAAACTAACCTAAATTCTTAACGAGAGTAGGTATATTGGCTAACTTTATACGCAAGATTTTATAAAATTAACATAAAATAAATTGATTCCACATTTCTGTCATTAATCATTCTATAAACTCTCAATATAATGTACATCGTGCCAAATCTGTCTGGACTTATTAATTAAAATATAATGTAACAAATTTAATAATGCTCCTCAAATATTAAGCTTGCAAACATAAAGTTAAAATACTCTGAGATTATTGATTGCTTTATTAGAGTAATAAATTACAATTTCTTTTTAGCATATTTAATAAAGAACCGATGAGTCACAAGTCAAGTTCGCAAAAGTTATAATATTATATGATTATTTAATTAAATATTTTACCATTTTGTTCAATGTTATTAAAATAATGTCAAAAATGGAATATATATATTTATTAAAAAAAATAGTATAAGTACTTTTGAATAGTCTTTTTTTTATTCTACCACTTATTCAGACTCATTACAAGAAGATTGAGCAAGAGTGTTGCTCTTTTTAATAAATGTTGTTCAGAATTACATTTTAAAAATTTTATGTGAATACAATGTCATTAATAATTTTAAAAGTTTCGTTATTATTGCATTTATAATGACGAAGATTCAAAATTAAAATAGTAATTCCGAAATGTGGCACTAAATATATATTTTACAAATTACGCGGAAATGGCCACCGGAATCTAAACCTATTCTAATTTCAAATTAATTGATTCATTTATTTGAAACTCTATGAAAATAAATTATCACTTTTTTTTTTATTTCAGTTGTCCCTTCTCAGGAAAAGGCAAAAGCACTCTGCTCGTACAGCCATATTTATATTATTATATATGTATTTTAGTTCATTGGAATAAATAACTAGATAACCAATAATTTATTGAAAAATCAACAAAGATGAAGTTTATAAATGAAAAATATATATATATTTAATTAAAAATAAAGTGGGTACTTCATCCAAATTTAAATTTAGTATATTTTTAAATAATTTATTAATTTTTATTCTCAGTCCCACTGCCGAGCTGGACTACAACGGTTGGTGGCACGGCCTTCGTATCGTGGGCTTCTGTCTCTCTTTCTTGAACAGCTGTGTCAATCCCATCGCCCTATATTGCACCAGCGGTATATTTAGAAAGCATTTCAACAGGTACATATCATCACATTCATTTTATTTTGTGTATACAAAACAGAGAAGTAAGACAAACGATTAACAACTCTGTTGCAGCAAGTGAAAAATTATTTTCTATTGTTAGCTACATTATAGCCACTCTACTTAGCTTTGAACTAGATGGCGCTGTGTGAATTGTCCAGGATATTATTATTATTGTTTACATACTATTTACGCCTACCCAGGTCGTGAGTTCAAATCTGGCCAAGATAAAAAAGAAACTTTGCATGTTTATATATCTGACTGAATCTTCGGTAAAATAAATACCGGTATCAAACGAAAAAATTAATCCGAAAGACGACGGTAGGCTCTCGCTCTGCCAATGGCCCGTGCAATGGTAACATTATATATTTAAAAATTAACCGCAATTATTGCTATACTCTATTGTAATGATGCATCCGCCTGCGCTAACGGTGAAGTATGATAAAATAAGCATAAATGAAGTCAGCTCAGTTAGCCCATCTTGGTAAATGCCAATTTACCACAATTATTTCCAGAGGGAACCGCGAGATCAAGCTGACATGGTACATTGCTAGTAATGGGGTTATTCTGCACGAACTACTAACAATCCCATTTTCTCCGGCATACTCTATGATAGTTATCCTTATTTAAATTGATATATAGTGTATACACACTGATTACTCACTAAACGATTACTTGAATGACGAGCGTGCATGGTGATAGTTGTTTATGCACGTAATTTTCATTTAATGTTAGACATAGACACCTACAAAAGAAATTCAGTTGAGTTTTTGCCAGTTTTTTTCAATTCAATGTGTATATTGAACTAGGCGTTAGTGAAAAATCATTACATAGTATAAAACAATGTCGTGCTCGCTGTCTATCCGTCCCTATGTATGCTTAAATCTTTAAAACTACACAACGGATTTTGAAGCGCTTTTTTTATTAGATAGAGTGCTTCAAGGAGAAGGTTCATATGTATAATACATGTACACCCGGGCACAGCCGGGGTGAGTAGGTAGTACATAAAATTTTGTGTTCATAAGCGGCGAAATTGTCGTACATAAATAAATAATTTGTTATTTGATTAGGTACCTACTATGTCGGGGCGGCACCACACATGGACCCAGGGGTTCTATGTCATTGTCTACCTCGCGGAGACTGACTTCCAGTAGGAAGACCAACATCAGCATGGTGCCGAGGACGTAAGTGGAAGTTATTTTATTTCACTAACTACATATATCCAGCGACTCTGCTCTTATAATAAATGAAACCGATTCTATGAATTTTTCATATCTTTTTTTTATTGGCGTGGTGGTTTCCCCATTTAACAGTTGTTATTCGATGTTAATTTTCAGTTACTTGTCGTACTTCTTACTAGTTCTAGTTTACAATTTTCATTTATAAATTATTATAACTTTATAACAATAACTTATAAATTAATGTTTATTATTTTATTGCATTTATAAATTGTACAATTTGGCGAGTTTAATACCGTGCATATAAATATAGTATAGTGCATTCTCTACCTGCTAACCATTGGGTAAGAACAGAAAACGGTTGACGGGCAGTGGTGGGAAAGAACAAATCTATAATTTTACCTATCATAGGTAAATAGGTTTTCAAAAATACTTTTTTATTTTATAACTTTTTCTACTACTACTTACTTCTATGTACCTACGGCAAAAAATTAATGAGTTATAATCAAGATCATTATTACTATGGTACATAATACATTTTCAGAACAAGTGTGGGCCGAGACAGCAGCATCCGTCTCCTTAACAACGGATCGAAACTCTGAGGAAGGAGCAACGGCCGGACACCGGCCAACAACAACCAAGAACGCTCCCAAGAGAACTACAGCAAATGTTTCATATACAAAACAGATAATATGGCACCCTTCCCCAAATGCTGTGAACACGAGAACGGCGTCAAACATATGGAAACAAATGTGGATGCTAAAGACGCTAGCAGCACTGAAAGCTTCTTCTTACAACTCGACAGTTCTTTTCACTCCTAATAAATTTTACCACAGATAATGTATAACCGTATGTGAGTACACCTTTACGTGTGTAATGTGATATTTTATCCTAATATATGAGAGGAGACAATACACTCGTTGTTCTTATTTTAATCAATTGCGGCACAATCGCCACAATTTTCTTGACCACTTGCTATGTTCGCTATTGTACATAAGTAGAAGTAAAGTAATGTACATAAAGTATCACGTTATTATACATATATTAAGCCACTACACAAATAAAAAATATAAGAAGGATATCAAATGTAGAAACATTTTTTTTCTTCACAATTCGTGTTATTATATACATTTATATACGTATGCAGGGATGTCTCCTCTGTGTACATAAATATGTCAATGGTATCACCATTGCAGAACTGTACGTATGGTCGCAATGTGTTTTAGTAAGTTGACACGTGTAATTCCTATATTTATATTATTTATAATTTCAAAAAAGAACTCAAATTAACAAAAAAATATATTGTCTGGGGGGCACTATCTGCCTGTCCTTTTATGACATAAAAAGTATATCTTGTTTATTAACGAAAACGTCCCAATGACTACAGTTTTTCTAATGTCCTAAAAACTGTAAGAGTTTATTTAGATCTTTATAGACGATACATTGTTAGTTCAGCATTTGTAATATACTTATAGCATTGTTAGTTATAGTATATATGTATATAGAAATCTACCCATTTCCACAACGTTGTTAGTATCGTTGAAATTGTATCTATTAAATTATATATTTGTTTACTCATTACAAATATTTTGTATCACAAAGTACACCTACTGTTATATGAGTTACGTAGCCTACGGAAACAAACTCGTGGAATACTGTACTTTAAAACAGTAAATATTAATTTTAATATAATCTGTGGATATACATACGAATATTTCATTATTATTCGTTCATTCGGATGCTGTTTGTTGCATATTTTTAGTGTACACACATTGTTCCTTTGAATACTTTATATAAATGTCATATTTATAAAGTATAATGTTATTTAAGAGCTCCATTTAAGAGAGAGTCCACTGTATTTAAGAGAGTCACGGGTCGTGATAAGGACCTTTATAATAACACAAGGAGATCTTAAATAATATTTTGATGGTGAATACCACCTCCTTGCTAATGTGTATTTATTTAAAACACGAATGTTTCTTGCTCATTCTTTTTGTGATGAGTCTGCGTTCCGAATGAGTGGTAGAATAAAAAAATGCGACTATTCAAAAATACTTATGTGTAGCATATTTCAATAAAGATTATTTATATTTCTAATATCTCGTTTATTATGTGTGTACAATTGGAAAGCACAGTGAAAATAAGATTGTTTTTTAAATATTTAATTTAATAATATGGAGTTAATAGTAGATTTCTAAAATGTAAATATTAGTTATTAACTTATTGTAAATTTATAGTTAATTAACTTTCTAATTACTGTGAAAAAAAATGTAGATATAAATAATAATAATAGTAGTTATTAATGAAGTTAATAATTGAAATTAATGTAAATATGCCTAGTGTTCTATTTTGAATCTGAAAATATATTTATTTTAGTAAATATATTTATTATTATTTTGTTATTACTGATATGAAATAAATAGAAGGGCGTTATTATAGAATTATGAAATGAAGTGCCTAAGTGTACCAACAAAATGTTCGCCTATACATACTACATATACCTATACATATATACTTTTAATCGTACTATCTTGCTGTCTTGTGCATAGAAGAAATTATCGTTATGGAAAGGAAATAACGATACTGATATTAATTTTCAAATAAACATTTTAGAGGCCGAGACGCAAAAAGAGGTTTCTTATAAGTTTAACAAATTTTTGTCTATCTGAGGCATTATATCTCCTATTAATGGACAGATTACATTTTTTTTTATTTCATTTATTCATTTTTTTATTCGGGATTACTTAAATTTATACTAATTATGATCTAAGATGCTATCGAAGTATATATAATTATTTCCGTACTATTAGACTTTCAATTGCTTCATGTTTTTAATACACGACGTAAAAATAGGGGTAGTTAGTAGACAAGGAGTCTGTGCCTCTGACATTATAGCTCCTAAACTGTTGTACCGATTAGGATTCGGAATTTTTGTTGGAAATCTGATTTTAACAAGACGGTTTTAACTGCAATTTATATTGATCAAGATTAAGTAAATAAGCGCCATATCTTACTAATATTATAAACGCAAAAGTTTGTGAGTAGGGATGGATAGATGGAAAACATATATTTATTACTCTTTCGCGCAAAAACAATTGAACATACTTTGATGAAATTTTACAGTAATATTATTTATATATCAGAATAACACATAGGCTATAAATTTATAATGACGTCCTATAGAAATAACATAGATAAATTCTACTACGACGCAATTAACTCAAAAAAGTTATGATTAAACTACATTGACTTGTTGTCACAAAATCTATTCATTTGGATGCCAACCTAATACCTTTTTTTTGGACTACATACTCTAATGCTGTTAGGCCGCACTTGACCTTTACGGCTTCACCGTATGATAGGTAGCGAGACAGCAGCAGCAGAGAGCAAATGACACTCCAAACCCGCGATAGGACTTAGGGAGCTGCTACAGCTCAACTCTCTGAGGGCACCGCTGGATGTTCGAACCTCAGTTTAGGTTTAGTCATAATTTCGATCCCCGTTTGAATTAGACGGAGGATCGATCGGAGAGGATATTAAATACTATCGGTAGTGTTGTATATTCTGAACATTTTACTCCCCTCCTATCGCCTTATCTATAGATCAATGTCAACATCGTGAGCATCTAGTCTCATATGCAATTTTTTTTTCGGTCTTCTCTAATGCTGTCGGCCGCAGCTGGCTTTTACTGCTTCAACGGACAATAGGGGGCGAATGCAGATGGCATTCCAAACCAAAGGATGGACTTATGGAGGGACTGAAGGCCAAGTCCCGCCTGAAATCAGATCCAATAACCGTCCTATATTATATATATTACTGAGTACCCGCCCTCGCTTCATTGTAAATATATCTTATTAAAAAAAAACTAAATTATAGCAATCGTTGATAATATACCTATTTTTCTATATATATCGAAATTCACCTACTATGTAACAAAAAGAACTAAGTTTGTATAAAAATGCACTACTTTAGAAATTCATAGAAACATTATAAATGCTTCTTGACCGGATTAAATGGATAATTTAAATAAAAGTGCATACCTAAGTCATTGTGTTATAATTTATAGTGAACTAAACCAAATATTTGTTACAATTTTTATTTGACATTAAACTATTTCACATTGCTTTAATTAGTTTGATTTTTAAAAATCGATTCAAGTTAAATAATTCAAATGTTAATAGTCTATAATTATATTTGTTTTTAAAAAATAAACTCCATTTGGGTACAAAAGGGGTATTGGTACCCAGGAGGCTTGCGACTTTGCGAGGTCCTCGTCCCAAATCATGACCCATCTCCTGTATGTTCAGTTTCTTGAACGAAGGAAGATCTGAACTATGCGGCCGATAGTGCTATTGAACTTTCTAAGCCCTAGTCTAAATATATTTAGGTTTACCATTGACACGAGGGAAGATGAAAAAGTAATGAAATAGCTTTTCTCAGAATAAATATAAAAAAACTATACATTATATTCAACTTTATATACACCTACCAATTTATTATCAAATAGTAATATTAGTTCCCACAAATAAATTGTATGATTGTAACCTTTGTTGGTGATCCTAAATAAAAAAAATAGTGCCAGTAATAGATAAAAGTCAAAATTCAAAAATCATTTATTCATGTACTACTTTTTAGCCGCTTAGTAACGTCAAATTTTTACATTCAAATTTTATTTTTTTTCCCTACCGACCAGTTCGGTAGATAGATCCAATTGAGAAGAACCGGCAAGAAACTCAATTGAATTACTTTTTTTTTAAAGCCAGTTTATTTACAATGTATATTTATATAGGTGTCTATGTCTAACATTTAATTAAAATTCAGTGCATGAACAACTATTGCCATGCGCACTCGTCATTCAAGTAATTGTTTAGTGAGTAATAGGCTTTGCTCAGTAAATATGATTTAACAGATGTTTTGAATTTATTTAAGGGTAATTCCAACATATCCTTTGGTATAAAGATTGTCAACTATTATCTGTTCTTCAAGGTGAACACAACCCTTGATATGTCCAGATTTCGCCGGGTAGGTATAGTTGAATGCAACGTGATAGACGCCGACTCTACTGCAATCTCTCCACCGAATTAAAATAAAGCAAGGAAAAAAAGCGCCCTAATATACTGTTGGCATTTCGAAATGGCAATAAATTGTTCGTATCCAGGTCCGTAAAACATATTAATAAAAAAAAATTAGATAAAGGAATACGTATGTAGACTAAGGATTACAAAGATAAGGTACGATGAGTTCATATAGTTTCTAATAGGTAAAAACATAATTTAAGATCGTGGCAGTGAGTACATAATAGTGAATGGCATTGTATTCTTATAATCAATTGTTTTATTTTAACTGTGTACTATATTATACAGGATAAATATATATTTCATTCTATTTCAGTAAGTAATACTATTTATAGTATGTCATTGATAATAAAATAATTGTTTGCGCCACAATTAGTATAAATCCACATCTCGTGTAATAGACAAGGACACTTCACGATCTAGGGCCGAAAGGAGCCGAGTACACCCGCGCCGCTGCTGCGAAGAAAGATGGCGATTTCTGTTCATCTCGTGTCTGAGAAACGCCGCTTGCACATAATTGCGTTGAATCATATCAATCATCAAAGATTTTAATATAAAACTACCAAACTATCAAGGGGTATATGCACTAATTACGCCCCGTGTGTTGTGTGGTGTTCAATTCATCGGTTCCTGCAGCAGCCGCCATAGCAAAATCCAGGTACGCTCGTAACACCTTATTTTGCCCGAATCGTGATCTGTGATGACAGTCTAGTCGAAGGAAAACATCATTTAAATGCCTCAGGACCCGCTTTAACAATAGTTATTAATATTAAAATAAACAATCGAATTTGTAGAGGAAAAGGAAAACAATGTCGCTGCTTGTTTATCAGCTTACTTACTTCTAAACAGTGCAAAGAGTAGATAATATTTTTAAGAAGCTTTACATAGATTATTACATACAAGATATGTAACCGAAGTCCTATAACTATATGCATATACATCTACCGAAAAAACTTCTCGTAATAATAGTAAAATATTACTACCAAATATTTTATGGATGATAATGGAATGATACACACCCTCCTGTGCATAATCAATATCATTACATAGTATAAAACAAAGTCGCTGTTGTTGTCCGTCGGTCCGTCCCTATGTATGCTGAAATGTTTAAAACTACGCAACGGATTTTGAAGCAGTTTTTTTTAATAGATAGTGTGATTCAAGAGGAGGTTTATATATATAATACATGTAACACGTAACCCTGCGAAGCCGGGGCGAGTAGCTAGTTAGTAAGTAAACCTGATTTGTATACGCATAATTTAATATTTGGCTAACGTTCATATTTTTTTAATTTCAGAATTAAAAGTGATACTACGATAGCATATTACGTACACCGCCATCCACAAAAAAAATACATACGAATATAAAACCTACATAAATATTATCTATAACTTATACCTACCTGTAACCGCACTATCCGTTACTAGATATATATATATAGAAGTTCTATATGTACTACAATGGCTTTAGTTCCTAGATTTGAAAAAAAGCCAGGCACTTCTGGTATTTCTGGACAACTATATGAGACGAAATTGTTAACTTTAATTTTCGTCAGAGCTAAAATTTTGTCGGAAATAGAATCGTTCTACCTGGCGTCCAACATCAACGGGATAGGAGCATTTGATGATATAATGTTTATTTGTCATCGTAAAGAACAGAGAGTACCAGAAATATGGTTTATTCAAGCAAAACACAAAGAAAATCCAAACAAAGAAAGATTCAGTGAGGATTTACTGAAATCAGAAAAAGATGCATTTAGTTTGACTAAATACTTTGAAAGCTACTTAACAATTAGAGAAAAATGTAACATATTTGACGAGTTATTAGGATGTAATTTTATTGATGCAAATTATAAATTTGTTATATATACTCCCGCCAAAGAATACTTTTTAAAAAAATTGGTAATTGGATCATCAGAATTTACTGACAGAAATGATATAATTTACACCAGTGACAAAGGAAAGACATTCAAATATGACTACAATGAAGAAGACATAAATTTTCTCACGAAATCTACAATAGTGTCGCTTATTAGACGATTATCTGAGACTTTGGTACAATTTTTCTTAAATAACAATAAAAATTATAAGAACATGATGTCAAACGCAAGCATTAGAAAATATCATGTATTTTTAGCTCAAAACGTTTTCGAATTTCTAGAAAACGAATTTGACGATCATTATTTAGTTAGATTTCGACTAACTTTTTTAAATGATAATAATAAAAATGTAATCACGGAATTAAAACTTAGCATATTAAATCTATACACAAAAAATATAAAAGGTCATACCAAAGAATCAATCATAAATAAACTTCGAGAATTGAGATTTAAAGTGCCGAAAAACTTTGGCAACCTCGATATATGTATAAGAGCAAATGAACAAAATACGAAACAACGATTAAATTACCTGAGTGCAAAAATTATCCAACTATTAAAAAATAAAAATATAACGGTGCATAATATTGTACATATTAACGATAACATGCTTACAGGTAGTAATCCTATTTTGACAGATGGAGATCTGAAAGATAATGAAGGAATCGGGGGATTGATTGGTAATTTACTAATTATAGATAAAGATACAGAAATGTTTAAATTCACGGATACTCCTGACTTATTAAAAGAAAATTCTAAACGAATATATAATAAGTTAATTTTGGCATTACAAAAAGAAGGACTAAATAACTTACATAAATTTAGATTTGAAATTAACGTTACGGACTTTCCTGCATTATTATTGATGAACAAGAATGATAAAATATTAGCCAGGGACTTTTTAAATAATCTCCTATTCTACACAGATCAAGCTAAAGAAAATGAAGTAGAGAAAATAACAAAATTAGAAATGACTGTCAAACGTAATCCTTATGCTATTTATTTAAATCTTCATAACTATATACAAAAATGGTGGATGGAACCCAAAGATTCGAATTATTTAACAAAAGACTGTGCTATATACGAAAACGTATCAGATAAATCAACAGTATGCCAATATACGGTGGCAATCAATATAACTAATTAAGAGTGATAAAACTATTTTGATGCACTTATTAAATGTATGGATTTAACATCTCTAGACTTGTATAGATAATATAATTTATAAGTATAAACCTAGTGCAGTATGAATATTACTAACTATGTAAAAATTAAGTAGTAGGCGTTACACAAGAAGTGCTATCTGAAAGATTTCAACAATAAATATCGATTACTGAGAATGATACGATATGACGCACACTGACCAACATTGTACCTACTAACACTAAAATAAAAAAAAATACTGACATTTATAATCAAGTTTGCTTAATTACAAGATAAATAATTTACAAAAAGTGAAATGACAGATACTAACCGTCTGGTATGAGGTGACTGTTTTTTATTACTCTGTTATTCTGAACTGTTTGTTTCTGATAGTACAGAAATCGACAACAATAATTTTGATTTGATTTAACGTTTAAAACCTAAAATCACCTTTTTATACTAATCTGACTCTTTTGTATTTCAGCCTAACTTGAACTGAACGAGTGACTACGACTTGGCAAAACTTTATATATGTAAAAATACAGGAAATATTATCCCATGTATGCAAAGCATTATAAATTAAAAATTCACTTTTTTTTTTATTTAATATTTTACGGCTCTGGATACAAGTTCTTTTTAGCCCAACATAAAATACAAAACCTAAAAAAAAATTATAATTTCTTCCCAGTGTTAGAAATAAATTTATATAAAATCTTGAATAGTGCAGGCCTTGATAAGATCTCTTCTAAAGACTTCGGTACTTCATTAACATGCTCTTGAATCTCGTGAATGAGTAATAATCTGTCGAGTCCGTATTTTCTACATTTGAATATAATATGATTCAAATCTTCATCTTCATTGCAGTGAGGACATTTTGGGTTGTGAACCATTTTCATTCTGTATAGGTGAGTGCGAGTTTGATTATGACCAAATCTCATACGATTAATAGTCGTGATAAATTGTCTGCTGTCGACGTCTTTATTGTTGTGGTACCAAGGTTTGGCGGGCAGGCTTCCTTGGATCTTGGCATACCATTTTCCCTTATCGTTAGCAATATTTATGTAATAGTTATTCCATAATAATTTTAGAGCATTTTTAAGTGAGCTATAATAGTCGGTGAATGAAACTTTAAACATATTCGAGTGGTCTTCATTATGAACATTCCGAGCAGCTTGATCCGCTATTTCATTTCCAGCAATTCCTTTATGACCAGGTACCCACAAGAATGTTACCTGCTTACCGTTGTTTTTCAGATCATAAATATTTTGTCTGATATTATACAATAAATAGTTTAAATTATATCTAAGAGATATATTTTGTAGAGCTTTTAAAGCACTTTGCGAATCCGTTATTATCATAAAATTTACATCATTTATATTATTTATATGCTGTAATGCTGCATATATAGCATAACATTCAGCAGTAAATATACTACAATTGTTATCTATTTTAAAACATTTTGTTAATTTAAGTTGTGGGTCATAATATGCTGATTTAACATTATCAGAAGTTTTTGAACCATCTATGTATATTCTATAAGAAGCCATATTTTCATTTATCTTATATATATCAGCAATACAGATAATATTATCTATATATATTGATATGTTATTATTTATAAGTGCATCATAATTTATATGATACAAAGGCCAAATTTTACTTTTATATATATTTACAGTTTGAGAATGAATATGCAAAACAATTCTTAATATTTCAGGTAAATAACCAGATAAAAGTTGGTTAAAGTCTACATAAGGGCCTGGTGTAACTGATTCAACAACTTTGGGAGGTATGATTCTATCCAAGACATTATTATTATTAGAAGAAATAAGCTTTAAACAAAATTTCTCTGCTATTTGTAAGCGTCTTAATATTAAAGGGGGGATATTCGCTTCACACTCCATAATATGTATGGGTGTTGAACACATCGCTCCTGTAATTATTCTTAATGCTTTATTTTGTATAATGTCAAGTTTTCGTAGTAAAGTTGGGTTTGTATTCATATATGCTAGGGAGCTGTAGTCAAAATGGCTTCTAACTATACTCTTATATAACATAGACAATGTGCGAGGATCAGAACCCCAGTGAACTCCAGCCAGGGCTTTCAGTATATTAAGACCTTTACATATTACAGATTTTATAATATTATTTATGTGATTGTTGAAAGATAATTTTTGATCTAAATGTATTCCAAGAATCCTGAATTCCTGAATCCATGGCAGCAAAATGTTATTATATAAAATAGGTTGTGAACAATTGTGACTCTTTTTTGAAAATATTAATGCTCCACTTTTACTGGGACTTATAATTAATTTTAATTTATTATGATAGTAATCACAAATTTGTTTTAATGCAATATTTAAATTATTTACAGCAATAGTTACATTATTATTAACACTATATACAAATCATCAGCAAACTGTAAAAAATTTATATTATTATTATTTTGTGTCAAATAATTATTGATTTGACAAGTGTACAAGTTATACAACAAAGGAGAAATAGTAGCACCTTGCATAGTGCCCTTATAAACATATCTAGGTCCATGAATTATGTTGTTGTATTTTACATACATAGTTCTCTCATAAAGAAAATTAAATACCCATTTACAGACTTTGCCTGGTATGCCAATATCATCAAGAATGTGAATCATGATTGAAGGGTCAACATTATCAAATGCACCCTGGATATCTAAGAAAGCACATACTGTAAAGGAATGGCTATGGAAAGAATTTTTTATATCTGCAATTAAAGCAGTAAAACTTTCAGCAGCGCTCCTGCCTTTCCGGAAACCAAATTGTTGAGAAGGTAAAATGTTATTCTTTTCTACATAAAAATCTAATCTTGTTTTGAGCATGTGCTCGAATAGTTTGCCAATACATGATGATAAGGAAATAGGTCTATAGGAATTGTAATCGTCTGGTGGCTTGTCCTGTTTTAGTATTGGTATTACACATTGTGTTTTCCATGTTTGTGGTATATGTTGACAATGCCATAGCAAATTGAAAATATCAAGGAGTAATTTTTTTGCATTTATATGTAAATATCTAACCACTTTATATGGTAAATCATCCAATCCAGGTGCAGTGTCCTTTCGGGACTGTAGTGCTGTTTCAAATTCAAGGAATGAAAATGGTTGAGAAAGAAACTGACAGTTTACATTTCCAATTTTTTTAAATATACTGTTAAGTGATATATTGTCAATCTGCTTTTCAGGAGGGGACAATGGAGCATATTTTTCAATAAATGATGGTATCCATTCATCATTTTTTGGGGATTTATGTACAGGTATGTATTTAAATTTTTTAATATAATTCCAAATAATACTAACAGGCGTATATCTATTAAAAGACTCACACAGTTTTTTCCAACTTTCTTTCTTTTTTATACTTAACATTTTTTTCTTTAAAGCATCTACTTTTTTATAATTAATGTAATTTTCTATTGTGGGGTTAGTTCTATAATAATTTAATGCTTGTTTACTATTTTTGACCATGTCTTTACACTCATCATCCCACCATGGTACTGGTTTTTTATATATATAATGAGATGTTTTCTTTATTTTCGGAATACAGTTGTATTTAATTTTTTCTATAGTGTCAATAAATAGGTTGTAACTGGCTAATGGATTATCTTGATCTAAATTAATACTATTAAATGCCTTTTCAGATTCAGAATGAAACTTGGACCAATCTGCTTTAGAATAAATATACTGTTCTGTGGGAAGTCCTGTATCATATTTTTCTATAGATGTTTGGATATCAATAATAGTAGGATAATGGTAACTGCCCATTGGATCGTCATGGACTCTCCATACACATAATGGTGCTACAGATGGACTAATAACAGAAATATCTATTGCAGACGGTTGATGAGTAGAAGTACCAACTGTAGTTGGAGAACCTGTGTTTAATATGCATAGATCAAATTCATCACACATATTATAAATTTCAGTGCCTCTACTGTTAGTATTGTTACAGCCAAAGGCTACATGATGAGCATTTAGATCACCTGCCAGCATTACTGGTTTAGGAAGCCTTTGTAGTATTTGTTTAAGTTTATTAACTATAAAACGGCCTCTACCACTTTTTGGTGGGGGACAATATGTACATAATATAGATAGGTTACCTAATTGTGTTTTTAATATTATAGCTACAGATTGCATAAAGTCATAAAAAGGTGTGGGAACAATTGTATATTTAAAATCGTTTTTTATTAATATACCTACACCTCCATATCCACCTATACCATTTTGACTTACATAGTTATAACCAGGCATGTTAAAGTGGCAATTCTCTCTTAACCATGTTTCATTTAGTAAGCAAATATCTATATAATTCTCATGAATATAATTAATAAGTAAAGGTTTTTTATTATACATACTTTGTATATTGAATTGAGATATTCTAATAAATGACTTAATCACTTTTAAGACTTTTTATTAATATGTCCTTAATAACTGAGGATGTCAGTGCCCTGCTATCATTTCCTAAGGAGACTAATGCTCCAATAAGACCGTTTAGTACATGATCACTTTTAAGAATTTTTTCAATTAGTTCTTTATTTTCATCTTGTGTACTTGGTAATGGGGATTTTTCCGTAGACGATTTATTATTTATTTTGACTTGAGTATTATTATTGTTTCTAGAACTAGAACGTAATGTGGGGAAGTTAGTGTCATAGTTTTTTGTAATATTGTTTGGGTCAACATTTTTAAAATTCACAGCTTGAGCATATTTAATTTTATTGTTTTTTTCCTCCATTTTATACTTTTTAACAGGACAATCTCGAGAGATAGCAAGGTGTGCTCCACAGTTAATACATTGTTTAATCGTTTCTGCTTTACATTCAGAATAGTGATGATCACCTGCACATATTGAACACTTTTGAGCAGATTTACAAAACTTTGCGCCATGGTTAAATTTGAAACATTTATAGCATTGTAAAAGAGGAGCCATATATTCATATACTCTATATCTAAAGATATCTAAATACACATAGACTGGAAGACTTCCAGACAAAAAAGTCAATCTAACTGAACCAAACGGTTTAACTTCTCCGTCTACTTTTTTTGTAAACCTATTTACACTTATGATCTCATACGGACAGGTAAGCTTTTTAAACAGCTCTTCATTGCTTATACTTGTGGGTACAAACCTGAGCACTCCAATTGTTTCCACAGCTGCTGCTGGAATGTGTGCATGATAGTTGTGCTTATTGAGAAAGTCCTCATTGTTCAAAAAATTATTCGCATTATTTACTTGTTTAAATGTTACACCGACTTTAGTTGCATTAATGCGCTTAATATTAAGCACGCCCTTGACATCATTCTTAAATAGATTGGCCATCACCAGTGGATTTTGGTTTCCAATTTTTTCTCCAATGGAGCTTGTGATAAATACGGTGTATTCGCCACTCACCATTGTGTTTTCTGGAAAGATTCTCTTATAACCAGGTTTTATGTAAGGTTTATAGTAATCATCTGAGGAGGTATCTTGTCTCCTTGCAGTTTTTCGGCCCGGAGGCGGGACGTCGCCGTCCCCCTCAGGCATGATTCTAAGATAGGTATTTAACAACTATATACGACGTAATTATTATCTATATAAGGAAAAATAAACTATTTGCAGTGAAACTAGCAATAAATATAAATATTTTTTGAGAACTATTCAATTCGCGCCTATTTCTTCGAAAAGCCCGCCAATCCTTAAAAATTCACAAGCAGATAATGATGCCAGATTGGGAAATTCTACCCATACTTGTTAGATTTTGTGGCGATAGGGTATTTGAGTTAGATGTAATAATGTAAACTTTTATATATCATACATTAAATAATTATGAGGACTTAGGAAATTATTGGGAAGTAAGCAAGAAGACATCTGGCAACACTAGATTAAAAAAAAACTAACATTATTGTTTGTTTTCATATTTCCTCTTAAACAAATTAAAAAATATCTCTATGTTGAAAATATTGTGACTAAATATTTTTAAACAAGTAATATACATATTTTATTGCACATAAAAACAATCTAATAATGAAACATGGTGAATGTTATGAAAGGTGTCCTGGTCGAATGGTATGTACATATATGTTATTCATACAAACAAATTACAGTAATTTTCTTATTCCTTTATTAACTAAATGAAGTATCTAATAATTAAGTAATAAGTAACGTGTAGAAATTAATTATTTTGAGTACAGAAATAAATGCATGACTAGGTTATGTCAGTACTTTAACAACATAAGTAAACAAACGAAAAGCATCTATCATTTGTTCTCTTCTTTTTTTATTTATCTCTAAATCTCTATAAGTAGTTTTATTGTATTTCAATTATATATAATCAAAATCAGGTGGTATTCCAAAACTCTGGTCAATCACTTCACTTTCCATATGAAAAGTGTTCTTTATGTATGATTTTAGTATGTATATATTTTCTGTCCATCTATTGATTGCCGTTTTAAGATTCTGAAATAAATTTTAAAATCTGTTAGTAATAATAATATTACAAACATATAATACTGTTATTTCTATTAAACATCTACATTATTACCCATCAGCAACCGACCATAAAGATCTGAATCATATTTTTTTAATAGATAAATATGGAGTACTGCACTCAAATGCACTAACGGTATATACTGTCAGAGCCAGTACCAATGGAGGATTGTTATCCTCTACTGTTGTATGTAATCAGATCAGTTACAGGGAAGGGGATTTTTAGTAATGTGGACTAACAACCCCATTGCTAGCAATGTTCCATATCAGGTTGACCTCCATGTGGTTCCCTGTAAAAACCACCATGATAAATTTATAGTGAATTTACCATGACCATGTTAGCACAGGTCATCATTCCATTGGCAACCATTAGAAAAAAATTTGATTAGTAAGACATTTAGCAAATTCTTTTTTAATAATAATAATAAATTTAAATTTAATCATAGTTGATATATAAATGTAGGTCAACCTGACTGACTGATGACCCCATTACTAGCAATGTGGTCTGATAAATACATTTCTACCAATGCAGTTGTCAGTCCACATTAATAACAATCACCTGACCCTCTAATAGAAAGACATTAAGTGGTAACCTTGGTATCACCTAATAATGTGACGACTATAGTGATGTTCATATTATTTACCACTTACCAGGTTGACCACCTTATTTGCGATTCTAATTACATAGAAAAAAATACCTTTACTAACAATCAACTCACCCCTGGCCAGACTGATAAGAATAAAGTTAAATAGCCATACCTCACTATCGGTTTTCAACTGAGCTATATAATCCGGATCTGAATCTCTATACTTCTGCAGCTCTTTCTTAAGTTTCTCCTCTTCTTTTTTCATATTTTCCAAATGTTCCAGTGTTTCCTTTCTCTGATCTGTACACTCACGTCCAACCTTGCAACCAAACACAAATCTTTATATATAAAAATTATGTGTCACATTTTTTGTCTGCAATGGACTCCCTAAACTACTGAACCAATTGCAATTTGATTTGCACATTATGTGCAATTTGATCCAATTTGAAAGATAGGATAGCTTACATCTCAATTTATAGTTGCAATATTATTTTATTCAAGAATCTTAGCCACAGCAATGCATGGCCAGGTCTGCTAGTATATCATATAATTATAAGTAGAGTAAACCCCAACTTTGTATGGCTCTAATTTTCTTATTCATCTCTATTTTTTTATATTATTCTAAGAAGTTAGCTAACTAACTATCAGCCTAAATATACAAATTTAGAAACCTACAACTTTTTTATATAACTATGTATAAATGAAAATTATCTGTTAGAAGCAAAACAACTATATTTATTTCACTTTATATTTATAGTTTAGTCAATATGCTTACCCAAATAAAGTATTTTACTAAGATATATAGTTAAGCAAATAAGTACAGTTGAATTAAATCTCTATCTCTTAAATTAGTTAAAAATATAAAATCAATCTGAATTAGAGGTTTCAATTTTGGCAACTTTTAAACAAAATTGAATTGAACAAAAAAACTATTTATTTACTACATACATCTGTATGTAGTAAATAAATAGTTTCTACAACTGTCTAATCTGTTTAATTCTAACTATTAATCTAAAATTTATTAGTGATGCTAGTTGTGTTCTTCAGATCGACCCTACATATCAGCCCTACCAAGAGAGTTGTAAATTGTGATGTGGAGCTTAATATTATGATCTATGAAACAGTCATTTTTATTTTATTTGTGTATCAGACAATAGGGATACTGATAAAAATGTATGAGGTGCATAAGTAGAGGGAAGTGTATTATTTAATAAATAATTATTGAGTTTCTTTCTACTTTGATTTAAAGATCTTACTGATTCAACAACAATGGCGTCTTCAGTCCTCTTCAGTTTTTTAACACTTTCATCAAATTGACCTTGTAACTCATTCAATTTCCGTTTCTTGGCAGTTCTTGCTTTACTAAACCAATAAAGTTAAATATCAATATATTTCTAAAAACTTACTATTCTTTGCACTATGCTAATATTAAGATTATTTATATTAATCAGTGTAATTTATATCTGTAGTATCGGTAATTTGTACAATTATTAATGAAATATTTATACTCAGCATGTTCATAAAATAGAGGCTAGTGAATTAATGTTAAATTAATATGAGATATAATGTGTCTATTATTTTTATATATAGAAAACCTGCACATACCTTGGAAAAGACCAAAAATACACAGATGTTCCAATCTTCTCAGAATCAACGAGATGATCATCAACCAGGCTTTGTACTACTTCTTTTACTGACTGCATTGTAATGCCCTTCTCTTTTGGTGCTATCTTCTCTAACTCCTAAGACAATATATTTGTATATCATAATTGTATAGACTTGTCACTGCACACTGCTATCCAATGGTAAGGGATTCAATCCCCACACAATACAAACAAATATAGTCATGAGTATATCTGTTTGTGTTGGTCTGGGTGTTATACTATGTATATTATATAAGAAAAATTATAGATTGGAATATGAAACTCATCCAACAACCGAAACAGTTTACAAAGCAAACTTCTTGGTTGCTAAAATAGGTAAGACTGCTTCCTACATATGCAGATGACTTTGTACAAAATCGATGAAAAAATAAATTACATTGTTACAAAGTATAATATACCTTCAACTGAAAGAAGTCCTTGCTCTGATGAAATATTTCAAGCATCCTTGTTTTTTTCTCATCGGCGCTAAGACCACGTTTTTTTGACATTTCTCTCACTTCAATTGCAGTGACCCGGCAATGAAACAATTCCTGCTCCACTTGGATGAAACACTTGCCCTCGGCAGAAAGTTTATACTGCAGGACCTGGATGAGACACATTTATTTATATCTGCTGATATTGTAGAGACATTGCAAGCTCGTGTTGATGATTTGATGGATCAACTTAGCATTCCTGTTCATGACAAGGGACTATAATTAAAATATATTACTAAAAAAATCAATATCTAAAACTAAAATAGCAAAATAAGTAAACATGGCGGCACGAGAATCAGGAAGAGTAAAGGAAGCTGAAAAGAGAAGAACATTAGATGATGCAGCGAGAAAACGCCGAGCTCGAAAAGCTGTAGAAGCTCTAGAACAAGACAATTTTCATGATGACCCTCATGCAGACCTAGTTATGTCGAAAAAGATACCCAAGTTTGCAGATTCCAATGAGAAACCAATTAGAAAGAAGAAAACAAAAAGTGCAGAATATTATAAAATGAGATTCAGAAAGACATTTGCTCAGCTTGTGGAGGAAGATGCTAGTTTCAGACCAGACCCACCTAACTATTTGTCAGCACAAGTACCTCCCTCAAAGTAATTATCCATCCATGCATTAATTTGAAGTAAATAAATTCCTTATTACTCAGTATAAGAAACATTATTACATTATAAAGTAATCTAATTATGACATATTTGAAACAAATAAAGACTTAACACATTTATTAAAAATACATTAAAAGAAACAGTGTTATTTGTCAAGTTTAAATAAGGTCCCATTTTTTAAATATTATATACTTTTACTTTCTAATAACTGCATTTATTCCCAAGTGTTACACTTAATTTACAATAATATATATTATTACTACTCTAGTTATATGGAGAAAAAGCCTGCTAAAAACTATAAGCTTTACAATGTCTCAGATTTTAATTGTAAATAAATATATTGTTCCAGTTTTCCTGATCGACATTTCTGTGCGGTCTGTGGATTTCCTTCAAATTACACGTGCATACCATGCGGAGCAAGATACTGCAGCGTTCGGTGCCTAGGCACCCATCTAGATACCCGGTGTATGAAATGGACAGCGTAAATAATTACAATAAGGATAATTAAACAAAGATACTTATTACTTACCAATATAATGTTTTGTATTATATATCACTAAGTTTTTAATTTCTTCTCTTTTTAATTAATGACTATCACCGTAACAACTAACTTTAATTTATAGGATTTATTCAAACTCTGCTTAATTTAACATTCCCGCTAAAAATAGACTTAACACCATAATAGATAGCCATCTATAACACCACAGATTATATGTTCAATATGTAATATCAGCGCCATCTATTATCGAATAGCTATACTAGCAAGTTTTTAATATTAATCTTGGTAAATGCTACAAGATGGCACTGTTGTCTAAGTAATTATGCAATTTTATTTCTATTCATTCATTAATGGGTTGATTTTTTTTAACATTCACAAAATTATATTATAATTTTACTTAATATAATAATAGTAGTATTATGAATGTAAAAATAATTTTGTTTGTTAGTGTTTATTATCTTTTATCTTTACGGTTTAACCAAAGATGAATCTGGCCATAATTTGCACATTTCTATTATGCGGGTATCAAGCTCGCGACTATGACGTGGCAGTATGTAAACCGTTACACCACTACAAAACATTTAAAACGGCGGCAATAATAATATACGCAATCTGCTCACAAAGTTACGTTAATTGCATAGATATTAAGGCTTACATTATCTTCGCACCTTGAAGACGTTGATAGAGATTCTTTGTTGAAACCCAATGAGCTCCCCATTTCGAAATCACCGGGTGTTGATACAATAGGGGACACGGAACAACAGTGGGATGTAAACACACGGGCACGTGTCGCGTTATCAGACCAGCAGCTGGTGATAACAGCTATTGTACCTACAACTGGCGAATTCGGAACACTTCCTATTGGGGCGTGTACTTACGTTGATCCGGTGGGGTTTCCGCCGAATTGTACAGACACGTCTGTTATTTGATGTTTAATTTTATAATGATGTCAATATTACTAACTTTATTCCCCGGTGCTGTCCGTATAAATTAGGAGAAAATTACCCATATGTTAAGGGTATACTGTACTTGCATACGAAATTTAATCTTATTTTCAAGCTAATTAGATTAATTGCTAGTAATTTACTAAGTATTTAATTTTTTCTTCCATTATCATAATGGAATGCTGCACCCGCCTGCACTAGCGGTGTTTGCAGGCGGGGCACCACTGGAGAATGATAGAATGAATATGAAGTCAGGTCAGTAAGCCCATTGTGACAATTTCACCAGGAATTATCACCATGGTTTTCAGGGGGAACCGCGTGGAAGTCTACATGCTAGCAATGAGTTCATTGGTTCACATTACTAATAATCTCCTTCCCTAAGTATTTCAGTATGATCTTCCATTGTGTTAGCCTTTGGAAAAGCGTGGTATACTTGTATTAGAACATAAAGCAGTGAAATTACAGCATAAGGGGCATAATATGTTAATTCTCCGAAATGGCAACACGTGAGTGGTATGACGAGCGTCACATGATAACGTGATGTCGTGATGCAGTTCATGCTTACATATACGGTTACCATTTACTACTAAGTCGGCAGTCAGCTTATTTGCCATTTTAATTACTGGGCTAACTGATCTGACTTCATACTGCTTCAACTGAGTGCAACATTCTATATTTATTCCTCGTTGTGTTCATTTAAACCAGGTTAGATATAGCATTTTCTTTGCAATTTTATTTAGTAAATGTATATGTACTATCTCGGGACCGCCCATACCATCATTAAGAATATACAAGGTATTAAACATATTTTTACGGGCTGAGATTGAGTTGGTAACAAAAGGCAAATTGTCATACTTGTTTTCTGTTTAAATATGAAATAAAACAAAGAAACGTAATTGTTTAATATCTCATCGTTTATTTTCTCTTTTATAGTCTTCTTTTCATTGTATATTCACTTGGAAATGACATACTGTTCTTTCATATTTAATATTCATTTATATTAATCTAATTAGATAAAATTGCCGGATATATTTTCGATATCTATATATCGATACACATGTTATTTAATAATGTAATTAAAAATAAATTATTTCACTGTGTGTACGTAAAATTACGAAAGAAATTGAACAAAACAGTCTAACAATGGTTGCTTTTTAAAGGTCTACGCAGACAAAGGCATTGTCTCAAGTTTTTATCTGTAATAGTTTGGGTATTACATTACAAAATTGTTACAACGCACATGTGAGCGAGGCAGGAATGTTGTCCTCCGCGGACAGAAAGTCCTCCGTCTGCGCGGGCCCTAATATAGGTACTTTTCCAACAATTTATAATACATAATCACTCTTTTATCATGTGTTTAAATGCTAATTACACTGTATATATTTACAATAATTATCACAATGCATGTTTAAGGCAAACTTAACAATAAGTCTTGACCATTTATTTTACATGAATTTGGGCGAATAAAATATGCAGATATTTATTGAACATAATTAGATGTATTTTTTCTGCATAAAAAATATCATTTTATTATTATTAAGTGAACATTTTACATGTTTATTGTGTAATCAGAAATATTATGTTCAACATTATAAACAAATGAACATTTTTCGGAATAAAACAATCTTATATACAGGGCACTAATTACATATTTACAAAAATGCCTCCCCTAGTGTGGGCACATAATTATATACAATTCTCACTTAAAATTACTGACTCGATTGTAATAAATATTAACATTAAAGCCAAAATACATTTTAGATTTGTTATTTCCGATTTTTCTTCTCCTATTAATACTGGACTGAGGAATGGTTAACATTGAATAGATACTATGCTATTATTTATATAGTAACTAGCGACCGAACTCGGCATCTCACTGGTGTACAGTGGGTCTTTTATTGTTGTCCATTTAGATTATATATATTCTCGTTTTGTTGTTGAAACCATCTCGCATATACTCGGGACTACTGCTGCACATAATCACTAAAACGATTTCTTAAGAACTGAGTCTTTTGTTCATTTAGATTAATTATATTCTCGTTTTGTTGTTGAAGCCATCTCGTATGTATGCGATATTACTGCGGTATCTAATCGCTAGAACGATTTCTTTATGACCCTTTTGGGAGTTCACTATGATGTCATATACATATATTTCGTGTATAAAACGGATTACGCGAATTTTCGATTTTTTTAAAGTCGAAACTCACGGCTATCATTCTAATCTGAAAGGGTATTTGAGGTTGTACAACTATATGCAGTTTTTATATATATAAGTTTTTTCCGATGGAATTCTCTAAATTATAATTAAAATCATATTAAAAAGTTAAGAATACAGCGGAGAAACAGATGAAAGAGCAGCTTTATTTTAAACGGCTAGATATATATTTAAAATATTGTGTTGTCAAACAAAAATACATGATAATTTGTAAAATTTTCTCATACAACAACAACCAAGTTTGAAATGCAAATCAATTTCCGGCTGACCTATAAATTGAACGCTACACAATTTCGTATTTCTGCATCTTTGAATCGGTTTGATTGAATTGAATTTTAGATAATATTGTGGATGTTTTAGTCAAAAGTAAACGTTGCGAGTTTGTTTCTAAAGTAACCAAGGGCTCAATTATATAAGATACTTGCTAACAATGCTCATTTGAAACAGATTAAAATTGCTATATGATAATAATACAAATTTAATCATTATTACAATGTTTACGATATTAAAATATATAGGCATTGTAAAAATATGCGTATACTTTTCTTCTTGATTATTATAAATGGATGCCACCGATTTTGATCGGTGATTTTTGCCAACGTCATGGTTTGAAAGACACAGTGGAATTTTGTAACTGTGGTTATTTAAATTTGCTCAGTAAAGTTTGACAATTTCGTTCGATTTCTAATTTCAATACCTAACACCTGAGAGATAACGAGATGTGACAGTTGGAGCTTTATTTCTTCAAATTGGCAAAAAATCACCGTCATTTACTTTGGAAGCCATATTGGTAAAGAAGAAAAAGGAGTAGAGTCGTAATTACAAATTTTATTGGCTACATTATGAATGCATAAACGGCAAGTTTATTTTTTATCTATTTCAAATTATAATTGTTAGCAACTAACTAGCAAAAGCATATTATATAAAAACAACCGTTCACTAGATTAGGTAGTTTTGGACTCAAAGGTAGTTTCATTACTTTTAGTATAGACTTTACGTAGATTTTCTTTCTTTCGGGTTCAAAAAGTATCATCTTCACGTATTTGTCTGATGGGAATCGGCCAATGAATAAAAAACCCAGAATCAATTGCAATACTATAAAAACTTGTGTTGAATGTACATGTTCAGGGACAAATTTAGATATTAGAGTCTACAACATATCAGAAAGTGTATTCAAGTTACTATATCGATATTGTCTAATACACATATAAAATATGTATATTACTAATATTATTAAATATCTACTATTTGTCTTTTAGTGATCGCAACTCATGATCCAAGGAACACTATTTTGTGCTGTTATTATCAGTCAGAGAAACATAAAGGAACTGGCTTCCAATCTGTGAACCAATGATACCGCTATGTCATGTTCTCCTGCTCTATATCGCTATAGATGTATTCTGTATTGACCATACAAAATAACGTATGAATAAAGGTTGCTACACAGACAAAATAACGAGATCACTTTATATGTAGGTTACAATTAGTAAATTACAGTAGGATATCTTAAACCTTTGTAAATAGTAAAAATTTCGAGATTATTCCAATAGTTATTGTCATTTTTGTACTAACACAGTCAATGACGTCATGGGACGGTATAATATCAACAACATGGTACCTACCATGACAGGCAAATTTAGAATCTATATATTTATACAATGGACATTATTAAACATTGAGCTCAACGCTAGCGATATAATACCTAATTAACAGTATCATATATTCAGTTTCGCAATATCATTTGAGGTTTTTATCTGAATCATAGACTGGGCATTGCTTTGAAAATTATATTGCAATTAGACAGGATATAAGCATAGATAACCTAAAAACTGATAGTTCTCATGATCCAAAGTTGTATGAAATGGCACTATGACTGCTTATAAAATGATTTTCTGGTGAACCCGCATCGCCGTGGCTGCGGTAAAATACTAAATTCCCACGGTACCTAGTACCAAAGAGAATGAAATAATCTGTAGGCTTTTTAAGCAGTGGGAGTATCGACTATAGAAAAAAATTCCCCACATAGAATAATAGATATGCCTACTTGGATACCTGAAGATATCTGTCCATTAAGATATTGGTATGATACCAATATCTTAATACGTACGTAAATATACGGTATTGCCTTTCATGGTGAGAATAACACGTGTCTAATGAACTTCTCTCCTTCTGCTGTCAGATCGAAACGAAGTCAAATGCACCGAGCAAATAATTATGGAACATCACAACGTCCAATTTCGACCCTATTCACGGATCGTCTTTCTTTTTTCTTAATTTCCCTTCTGTGTGTATTGTTTGTGTAACGCTTTCCACTGCTGTCGATAAATCCGCTTCGGGATCTATCGCTGCTGATAATGCTGCGATGTACGCGCATGCTATCCGAAGAACAGACAACTTCGATAGTTTCTGGTTATGGCTGTAAGCTGGAACGGATCTTCTCAATGTGTCGAACGCTGCACTTATTGTGTGAACCCTGGTCCTTTCTCTGGCATTAGCTTCTATCCGCCTTTCTCTTGTCATGTTCTTGTAATTCCTTTGTTCTCTAGGTTTAGGTTTTTCAGGGTAAGATTCTACTACCCCAGGGTGTGGGGGTACTCGCGGTGGTCCTGGCCTAGTCTCGGGTACAGGAGGTGGTGGGACTACCGCAGGTTCTACAGGCCTCCTCCTTTGTCTCAACAAACTGGTCTCGCTTGTCTTCTTCACTAACGACAAAGGTTCTTGTTGGGGTTCTTCGATAAATGACCACGGCCTGAAAGGGCTGACTGGTGAGTCGCTTTCAGGACTTTGCAGATCTTCCCGCGAACTCAGACGAATCCGTTTCTTAGGGGGTTGAATGCGGGTGGGGGTTCTTTCTCTTTTGACCCGAGTGTCGCTCTCGACGAGTCTGACTCCTGAGTCGTCAGAGTGTGCAGGACCGGAACACGAGTCGTCGTCTTCACCACCGGATACAAATCCAGCATCGCGTTCTAAGATTCGATCTGCAACAATAAATAAAAAATACGTTAATCTTCATTGTAAGAGACAGTTGTAAGTACAATACATAATAAAATGTAATTCCATTTTTGTTCTGAATTAGTACAAAATAATTAAACTTCCAAATATGCCAAATAATTTACAGAAATAACACAAGAACCTGCAATTTTTTATTCTAATTCGTGCATAAATAATTCAACTCCTAATTATGAAATAAAAGAAAGATTTAAGAATATCACACATTCACTATGTAGCCTAGCAATTGCACAAGTATGATACATATGCGATATTACTGATTAATTATATATGATACATTGATACTGAATACAAACTTAGTTAAATGGGCAAGTTTCAGTAATCAATTTTGACTTTAGAGATTCTTTAGACAAACAACGTGTTATTTCTACAACTACATTCAGGTATGTGTGTAATGAGAAAGAACATGTCGGAAGCTGAAACTCAACAAAAAGTCAACAGACAGACCTACAAACGATGCCGACATCGTTATAGACCAACACATGAATACGTATTGAACAGAGCAAGTGCAGTAAAAACCTATATAGCACAGAACTGACTTCTACGGATCTGTCCCGTACATGTGTAATCGATAACTAGTACCGTAATCGATAAATTATCCAGACAAATATATTTATAAAAAAAATATAATTTAGCTTAATTTGTCTACCCCGGAACCTGGAAATTTAAAGAAATAATATTAATCCATGAATTAATGAAAGCTGGAGCAAATTTAATGCAATTTGACCCTAAGCCTTATACAGTAATTTACTGCCAGCAATGCTATGCTTAGGTATAATAAAAGTGATTCTACGCTCAACAAAGCATTTAATAAATAACACATATTTGCGATCGCAAATAGCCAAATAATGCATTTAAAAATAATATTATAAAATTTAAATTTGGAACGTCACGCATGGAACATTTGATATTGTTTTGTTTTCTTTTTATACATTTTTTCACTTCTAGAACATTCCACGGCGTCACCATTAACATTCCTCCATCAAGCAGAACACATAGGTAGGTACCTATATATTATAAATAAGAAATCTCTTTTAAAAAAAAACGTGAATTCAGCATGTTTGATAATAGAGGTTTAATTAGAAGTTTTTTTTTTATTTATATCGTAAGAGTAGGACAGGCTTAGAGCAAGTTACACGGGTCTTGGCGCCGGCGCCTGTGTGTATGACATCAGAGCGATATACACGAGATGACCGGTGAATAGATCGTTTGGAATAATAACAATCCGGCGATATTTAATATAACTTGTTTTGTATTATGAGATGTTATAAATCTTTAAAGTTTAAATAATACTTTTATGTAATAATTGTGGAATTTTAAAATTTTTGTAGCTGTTTTGTTTTTTTTTATGACAAGACCAATTAGGTAACTAATACTTCTTTTATCGTGTTTAAAATATATAAATATGTGACATTTTTTTAATTTAACAGAGTAGAATAGCTATGTATTATTAAATTCTATTTTCAAACTTCAATTATAATACATTTATGATAATGTACATGTATGATATTCAAATACAAAACCCACTACAGTCAAATTATTTTACACTTATCGCCAATAAATATGCTTGGGCACATACAAAATTATTGTTACATATGTACTACAAATAAATGGAACATAATTTTTGTAGCTTTGTAGCATCAAAACTATTAACAAACAGATTATAGGTATTTTTACATTAATCATAACAATCTGTACATTTATTACGGAGTGTAGGTAAATATTCACCTCTTTTTTTCTTTAAATTTTAATATCAAAAAGATACACATTTACATTTGCAATTCTCATCAACGTCAACGCACTTTTTAGATGTCAATTGTTATTGTTTATCGTTTCTCAAGATATAAGCGTCAATATAAACATAACATCGTGTGCGCCGTGCCTACATGTTGTTGGTATGTATGATACCAAACAGGTTTCTGCCCATATGGTGAGGAGCGATTGTCATTATTTTTATTATTTTACTGAACTGGCAGCCCACATTCTTGTATTATGCTTTGATTATAATATATCTTAATAATTATTTTATTTTATTATTATAAATGCGAAAGTTTGTGAGTATGGATGGAAGTTTGTTACTCTTTCGCGCAAAAACTACTGAACGGATTTTGATGAAACTTTACAGTGTATAAGCTATACATACATCAAAATAACACTTAGAATATAATTTCAAAAGATATAGTGTAAATTGAGTGTGATGCAAACGAATTTGCGTGCGTCAGCTAGTAACTAATAACTTACAATAAAGTACCTTATTACTGAAAATCTACGCACTAAATGGTATGAAACAGGAAAACACTTATATTTAAATGAACAAAAATATTAAATACAAAACTATTGAATATTTACTATCTATTTAATAAATAACTTATATATAATTAATTTTAAAGTATTCACATTGCTAATCAGAGGGTATTCGTGATGAAAAATATAGCATATTTCCTTGGTGGTCTAGCGGTTTAGCACATCTTACTTCCAATGGTCGCGGGTTCGATTCCTCGAATGGTACAAATATTTGTAATCATGAGTATGATTGTTTGTATTGGTCTGGGTGTTTCCTATATATTCTGTATGTATTTACAAAAAACTGTATTTAAGTATGTATATCAGTTGTCAAATACTCATAATACAAGCTGTTCTTAGTTTGGGACTAGATGGCGCTACGTGAATTGTCCTGTGTCAATATTATTTTAACACTATCATCAACATTGTCACGCACATAAATAAATACATACATATAAATATAATAAAAAACCATTAAATTTTCTAAATATTTTTTTAATTCAACAGAGCAGGTATGTATATAATTACATAATTAAAGTTAATTATAGAAATTACTATTTAATATTATTATCATTTATCTATTTTTACTGGGAATTGTTGAAAAACGGAAACAATAATAAGAGTACCTAAGCAAGTGCTCACGCTCGCAACCGGAATTTGGTCATAAAACTTTTAGTGAGTGCTAACTATAATATTTTACTTCTTTATAACATAACGGTTTTCTAAATATTTTAAATGATGACATATTAGATAATGGAGCGAAATCAGTGGATTCATCACCGAATAGAGAAAATATGTTGACTAAGTAGTTCTTAATCTAACTTATTTGTAAGTCTACCATCATGTTTAGTTATTTTATTAATATTATAAATGCAAAAGTTTGTTAGTATGGATGGATGTTTGTTACTCTTTTGCGCCAAAAGGATTGAACGGATTTTGCAGAAACTTTACATTATATTACTGTAAAGTTTCAGCAAAATCCGTTAGCTTATACATCAGAATAGCACATGCTCAAAATATCGAGCGGACGAAGCCGGGGGAACAGCTAGTTTTAACCATAAAAGACAACAGAGTCCAGATGAGAGGGAGAGAGAAACGCAAAGATATACCAACTGGGTCAAAGCGAGTATATATACGTAAAAGAATCTCGCTAACAATATAATTATAACAACATCCGTAAACAAATATTTCTGTAAACACTTTCGAAACGCAAGTGATGCCAAATAATCATCTAATACAGATAATAGTATATTCTTAATGGGTTAGCTACCGGAATTAGTTTATGGCTCATAATCGAGTGGCCGCGGCGCCGCGAAGGCGTTCCTATTTAACACCATCTATTTTCTGGCCGAAGACAGTACTCTCAAGCCATTTTGAACTCTATTCAGTTCCGGTACAGTTCTAAAAGAAATAAACTGACAGTATTCTAAAGCGGTTTTAACATAAACGAACTCAGAAAGGTACGCGTTTATGAAGCAAGCTTCTCACACTACAGGTGTTTTTATATGAACAAAACGATTGAGTGCAGTTTAGATGACTCCGCCTACGTTTGATTGAGGTTTTAATTGCTTTGACCAGCGAAACATTCTTTTACAATTAAAAAAAGTTGTGATACTCGTGTGTATAAATTTTATATTAATTTGAACGCGTCCAATAAAAAAATGATTAATAACTCGCCTATACTGTCGAAGACGAAAGCAATATATCACAGTTACAATAAAATAAGGATTCATCTGTAGAGCAGTCGAGGTTGCTCATTACGGCGCCGTTTCACAGCGACGTGTTAAAACAAAGAGTTGAAACTCAAAGGGCCCGCTCCGTGGGCTCCCATCGTTGAATGGGTGTCGATCTCACCACCAGATAAAGCTCTCCGGATCTCTAGATAAAGATCTGGCGCCAAATTTCACAGAAACCGAACGCGTCCATAGAGAAACAAAGTGCGTTGGCTTAATCGAATTCGTTTTGATTTAAAAATAATATTTGAATTTTGAAAATGGAATCGGTTTTGTTTTTATAATTTGAACGTATTTTTCGTGTATCATGGAAGTTGTACGTTACTAGTGATGTACCTTGATTACGAGGGCGAATAATTACGGGAAATTAGCTTACGTGATGGTAAAGAACGAAATGAGAAAATGATGAGCGGTCAGTTATGTGCCAGAAAAAAATAATCAGACTAGTAATGTCGTGTCCGCGGTTACACATTCGCACGGTCGCTTAAGCTTAATGTATGAGAAGTCGTGATTTTGTTACGACTTTCACCGAACAAACATTACCGATGGCGCCGGCGCGGTGGGTACACTATTGCTTCGCCACATCGCCTGTAATCTATTGCATTTCTTTGCCATCGTGTTTTATTAGTAAATATCCGGCATTTACAATATATAATTATGAATGTTGTGAGAGTTACGACTACGCTATACTTTTCAATTTATCTGTTTCTTGTACCTTCTTTAGTTGGAGTAGATAAACCCTGTCGGTGGTTCATTTTATGATTATATTAATTAATTTCCAAGATAGATCACTTTTTATATGAATAAACTTTACCTTAATTGTCTCTACCGTAAAATTTATTTAACCTATTTATTATTTCATACCTGAGGTTAGAAAAAAATATTTCAGTACACATTTTCTTCGATATTGGTGTAATTATCATGTAATATTGATGCACTTAAATCCATTTAAT